ACATTTAAATACTAATGATAACATGGTTAGTCCATAGGAAATTTTCCTGGTTTGAATGTGAAAGATAGGAATAATGCATGGATTCAACAAAAAATCAGTTAAAATCTCCCCCAGTTTTCTACAGCTTCCGAAATACAACATATTTTGTCCAACAGTTATCTTAGCTGAGGTCAAAAAAGCCTTATCTACCATACATTAAAATACATTAATAATATTTGGTTAAAAATACTCCCCATATATGGTCATTGTTAGAGACAGTTTGAAAACCCTTATAATCTAAACTCTTATCTCATGTTCTGAGTTGACATTAACGAACAGACAGCTGATATTCTTGGAATGAATAATAGGGCGATCTCATAGAGATGTAGGTTTGTTTTTGATTAAACTCAACATTGCTGGAAAAAACCCTTCATCTGTTTCTTTTTTACACTACTATGCATAGATTTAGTACCGATCCGATTCTTTCATGAAACGAACGAAGGGGCTGTCGTGGAACACTTCTACGAATAAAACCCAATTGGTGAAAAATAAACATTTACTATTGTACTCGTTTTGTTAAACTTTACTAAAAACATTCACTTGCGCGCGACGTTCTTTTACGCGTTGCTGCCATTTTTCATAACTTGCTGCTCTATGTAACTCCTACTTTCTCCTTCAAATAAATATTCGACCATGGATTTATTTCTATAATTTGTGACGGGATAGTGATGAATATTTTTTGGTGATCATAGTCAATCTCGACTCGATCACCACTAAAGGGCATTAAGCTAATCGTATAACAACTAAACGAAGTTTGAAAATAAACGTTTTGGCAAACTAAAATATAACAATTACAGAGGGATACAATTAAAATGGTTGTTAGATCACGATACCGTTTAGAAGTGTGATGAACAATTATTTATTGGTGGTAACTCAACCACAATCAAAAATGTTAATAAACTCATGGTATATTTTAAAGAGCATTAAGTTAACTATAACGCTGAAGTCAAATGGAATCAACAGTTTATATAAATTTTTAGGCATTTGAAATTTGCGAGGTGCAGGAGTCGTGGATGCGCACTGCTGATGAGTCCCATACCAGGACGAAACGTCCGTCCAGTGTTTCCAGGTTTCTAATGGTGGTCTAAAAATGATTGATTGATGAATTCAAATGTGTAAAAACACTGATCTCCATAACTGTAATTGAAAATTGTATGGATTTCTAAATAGAATGTGGGATAAAATTTGTTTCGATTAGATTTAGGATGTGTAAAAAGTGTCTCTTTATTGAGTAACGTTCTATAACTGAATTCTATGTTGTTGTAATATGACTCACAACAACAAATGTTTTATTGTGAAACAATATCACTTGAAGCTATGATAATACATTACACTTTAACAATGTATTAGTAGAATCGATGTGATTTCAATATACGTTCGATAAATTATATTAATAATTTTGCTGTTTCTGGATGAATAAGTTAGGCCATTTACTCCCTAATAGATGAAAAATTAAAGTTTTAAAGCAGAGATGGTTCAAAAAAATGTTAAAATCTAAATGCATCATTAGATCGAATTTTCGAAACAGCTAGATTTGTAGTACATACTGAACGCAGTAAAGAGAAAGTCGGTAGAACTATGAAGACACTAGGTAATCTTAAGGAAAACTAAATGTAGGTTGCTTTTCGGATTTCAACAACTACCTCTGGTTTTTTAATAAACAATCTCGTTAAGTCGACGGCACTTAAAGCTAATCAGTCTTGATAACTTGAATATAATTTATCGTGATGCTTGGAGAGACTAGTGACAAACTAGTCCCCACAGTTTCCTATGAGTGATATTTGTTGATAATCTTGGTTTATTAGCAGTTAACTTATGTAAGAACATGTCAATCAGTTGATTAAAGATAGATAGCCTAAAGATAGTGTGTACAAAGCAAGACCTGTGTACATAATTTAGCTTCCTTTTCATTATTACTAGTTTGAACCACTTCCATGCTTTCAATTAATATTTTAGCAAGAAAATGATTGTATGTGTAAATCTAGTAGCATGTATTTTTATAGATGTTTATGTTACTAAGGAAGATTGTTTTTGTGAGAAAATTAAATGGCTTTTAAATTATATATATGAAATCGTAATATCAGCTTTATCATCGAAGACAAAATATAATCTCCCACACCAATTTCTTACTGACTGTTAGAACAGTTTTGATAATTGCTAGTCACATTACACAACACAAAATGCACCAACCAAGTCACATTTCATGAAAAAGCTTTGTAAGATGTAAAAACATTTACATATCTGGGCAGCATTATCGAAGTGCAAGATGGATCTAATGAGGATATAATGACACAAAAGCAGTATTTTTACAGTTAAAGAACATCTCGTACTCAAAACAACTGTCAACTAACACCACAGTCACAATTTCCAATACAACTGTCAAGACAGTTCTACCATATAGAACGAGAAGTTCGAGAACCTCGAAAGCCATCACCTCGAAATCACAGGTATCAATTAACAGTTGTCTACACAAGATGCTGAGGATCTGTTTTCCAGGCATCATCAGTAACAACCTGTTGTGGGAGAGAACAAACCAGAATGCAGTTGAGGAAGAAATCAGGAAGAAGCACTGTGGCTGGATAGGACACAGACTGCGGGAAGTACGCAATGGGGTCACAAGATGAGCCCTCACTTGAAATCGTCAAGGTAAAAGGAGATGAGTAAGACCGTGGAACACATTGAGCCTAGGTATTGGAGACAGACGTGAGAAGAATGAACATTGGTTGGATAGGACTGGAAAGGAAGAACCAGGACATAGTTGGTTGGTGAATGTAGTAGTAGTCACATCATTTCTATAGCTTCGAAATTTTTCTAGCATTATTCATGTAGCCTAACACGATCAATGAATTCAAATCATAAATAAACTTGTACTGTTTGTAATGGTACTGCCAAACTCGACACTTTAGATTTAAATTATAGTGAATACTTTAGATTGTGATTATTGAGACTACTGATCTTATTTTAGTCAATTACTACTGATAGTTCTTTAATTGAAAGCATGTAATTAAATTTTAAATTTCGCGAGACAGAGTTGTTGCCTGAATTTTCAGTTTTATGAACCCGAACTGTAGCATGTCTCCTAAATGCTGATGACTTTTTGATTCGAACCTGGAAAAGTTTTTCACTTGTAGAAAATTTAAATATTTAGATGAATGTCGTAATATTATCCACTTATTTTAGCATTGTAAAGGAAAAAGGTGAGACGTTATCATCGTGTGAAATGATTAAAATAAAGCTAACCACTTGAACAGTAAGTTAATATGACGACAAGTCAGTTACACAACTGACTGGAATCTATCGATCATATTTAAAACGTTGTGAGTAGGTTATGTGACTCAGCACTGTTGAGCTTCATGATCAACGTTGGATGATCATAGACAATCGATTGTTACCTCTATAATATGAATGACACTACTGTCACTGTCTTTGTGAGAGAATGAAAATTTCTTAGTGTCTTTATTCTGATGATAGTACTGTTAACATTGTACAGGCGATTGTTTTACAAGAATACTTGGTTGTTTATGTTAGAATACATTTTCTTGTTAGAAAAGTTTGTGAAGTGAATGATACTAATCTAATGATTTTAGTTTGAGATTACTTACACTTGCTTTAGTAGACATATGTAATTAAAGAAAACATTTGTGACTACTAGAAGTATATAAAGTCGATAAAAAGGTAGTATGTTCTGCAATCGTATTTGTCTTTAAACTACGCAGGGATAGTCATACTGTTACAGAAAGACTTCAGAAACCCAGCTGAAGCGTCTTTACAAAAAATTTATCATCTAATCAATTTTCTAAAAGCATGTTTTATGAACTGCTCAGGCGTCCCAATTCAAAGTAGATAACCATTAGATTCGAGAAACTGCGAAACAGGAGGTTTCTATGTGATAAGAGTTAAGTGTCTTCACTTCTAGTCTGGTGATCTTGAAAATTTATGATGTTTGCATACTGCTAAATGTAAAAGTATTACACAAATCAGTTTAAATGAGTTTACTGTGTAGTCTTTGGATATTTACTTCCGTAAACCTACCTGATTTTTTTTGGCTCGAAAAACACTTGTACAACTCTAAGTATATAGTATTCAAAAATCTTTAAAAATGCCTATAAAATTTTAGGAAGGTCTTTCATAGTTTTTGATTTTAATATGATATCTCACGGCAGAATCAATATCGTTCCAGGATTTGTAAATCTCACGTATTTAGGCAATATATAATTTCATTTTTTATCGCTTTCCTGTCATGGAGCTTCAGTGATCACTTTCTATGAAAGGCTTTACCATTTAAATAGAGATAAATTTGTAAGTTTTGGTGAATTTCTGCATTCTGTACATTCTGTCAATACTTATGTATAATAACTAGTATAATTTGATCAGTAAATCCAAGTTGAAAATACAATACCATGTCTGTCTCATAAACTTTCTTAGCTGTGACGTTATCGAAATAATTTTACACTGTAAACTTACTTAAGCTGAATAGAATATTTACTTACTAAGTAAATTTCAGGCTGACTCTTGTTGCTAACTGGTGTTGCAGTTTATTTAAATGAAGCTAAAAGCTGTCTTACTAATACATGGTGTTCATTCATGAAGTTATTCATCTAAGATATATGCGGAAATTAGAGTTCACATGATAAAAATTATTTGTGACTCGAAACTTAGTAAAATAGCTCAAGATCAGTAATAATTGTGTCTACGTATTCATTCTTCAGCTTCCGCTAAATATTAGGTTTCCTTACTGTACTGAACTTTTCGTTGACTTAGTACACTTTATTTTCAAACTCTAGACTATGTTTAGCCACGTTGTTGTTAATAAAACTGTTATACATTTCCGTTTTGGTATTCGTCTTGTTGATTTTATCTCAAAGCACTGATATTACATAAAAATCTGAACCAATGCACATTTTTATCAGGATCTATAGTGATTAGTACTGGCTAAGTGATAGCAAACATTATGTCTTCCATCGTCAGATTTATTTCGGGATATTCCCTGGTTTGTTTCGGCAAATCTCTTGTTAAATTACAAAAGCATCTACAATAACCCAAAATACGAACGGATTTAAAAAAGGCGTAGCATTTTTTTTGTAAAATAAAAGCAATTTGAAGAGTGACCCACATTTCACTTGATTTGTCTTATTTATTAATGTATTTCGGCTTTATAAAAGTATGAAAATATAATAGTAATTTAAATAACCATGATTTAAATTCAATTGTCAATTCTTCTTCAATTTTTTTTGCTAGAAAATCAAACAGAATCTTCATCATAAAAAATGATGTATTAAAATTTTTTATGAATGATCAAGTTAGCGGTTTATTAAAAAGTAATGTCAATAAGGACTGACCGATTAGATAGATTTTATTTTGTCGATTTTAGCACCGACGGTATAAACCTAAGTAATGGTTGCATACTGGACAGTAATGATCAGCGTCTTTACAGGAATCACAGCAGAATGGTATAAGACAGCAACCCAATATTCCACTGAAGTTGAAGAGAAAAAAAATAAATAAATTTTTCTTTCGTTAGTGTATGTGCTTAAATATCATGAATCAATATTTTATGACGTTACCATTTACCAGATAAATTAGAGATTTACTCTCTGATTTGATCTAGTGCAGGTCTAATGTTGATTGTCTTAGTAGAATTAGCAGAACGTTCCCTTCACACTTATTCTGTTTGCTTGAACTAGGCTGCACTGTTAACAAGCATTCTCTTTTTAAATGCTCATACTGTTCAGCAAAATATACTATATGGTTTGATAAATACTTTGCTTGTGTATGGTATGCATGTGATTCATTTTTAGTGGGTAACTACTAATTGATAAATAGTGAAAAGATTATTTTGCATACATGTTAAACATAACTGTTGGTGGAAAGTAAATTACTTATGTAGCACCGATTTTTGATAAGTTTCGAGAAAAAAGATCTTATCGCTTCTTCACAAACAAACTTGTTTTGACTAGCATATTTCATTTGTTGAAAAAAATGTGTTCATTTGAAAATTGTCCTTGCGTAGATGGATCTTATTTGGATACTTAATTACCATAGTATTTTCATAATATTTTCGTGTGGATTTATTATTGTATCAGGCTTTGTGTACGTTCAGTGTGAGGCATAATGATTATTGAATTTCGAACAATGAAAATATGATTAATTTTCATTACAGCTAGTGTTCTGTGATACTAGGTATTTGAAAAGACCCAAATTCATGTTCTCCATGGGAAAAATTTTTAGACAAAGTTAAACTAGAAAAAATATAATATATACTGAGCATGTTTCCATATTTAAATATAGTTGCAGTCAAAAATTCTACAGTCATTCCTGTTGTATTCAGATTTGTTTTACCGAAACAATATTCAATACCTTGTCTTTCGAAATGAGCATTGCCTTCTTAGTTGGGCAAGTAAACGTTCTTGTATTTGCTTAGAGTTATTACTTTTATGGTGTATATATTCGTGAATTTCTTCTCTAGAAATTCAAGTGCAGTACTGGTAAGTCGAGTGTTTCATTCATACTAATGGCGATCAATTTCATTCGACGTCAGTTGCATGATAATGTGTAAGTCAATAAAACCAATGCAGTGTACTTTATTTAAGCATCAAAGATAGTTTTTAAAGTAAAAGATGAACTATTGTATGTTCTGTGTTACACATCATCAATGTGATGAGAAACTTGTAGTAATCAAATTCAGGGCTTAGCATCACTTTTGAATGTACCCATTAATTATTTGTGACAAGAAGCATAATTATAAACTATAAACATCTAAGTCATTTAAGTTGTATGTATTTACTGTTGATCGTCGAAGTTATAATTTTCTAATAAAGTCATTAATAACTTTTCATTTACATTTTACGAAATAAACGTATTTATAAGTTTATTATTCTGGGTCACAATAACTTGTCGTCAATATTGTTTTCTATGGCATTTAAAAGATGTCTTCGAAATTCTAAGTTTTCTCAAAATTCCATAAATTTATGAACTAATAAGTATTCAGATTTACTAATAAGATTTAAATTAAAAGTTTTTTAACCACCAAGGTACAGTAACCTTTGGAAGTGGAAATTACAACAATATCCATAGCACTAATATGAACACAAATTTACAAAAATAAACCCATGTATGTCACGATTTCACGCACATTCGATGATTAACTAACGGACACCATATCTAGAGAAAATACATAGAATTACTGCAAAAACATAATGAATATTAGGTTGGCCAGGTTTAACTTCATATCAATACCAAGTAGATTAGAGTGACTAAATGTTATACTGAAATAAATTCAAGTTGTACTGGGAAAACTACTGGACAGAAAATAAATTTATAATGAGCAGTTATTACACTGGACTGAAGTCGAAGTAATATTAAGCAAAATCAACAGTGAATTAAAACATCTGATTAGACTCTTGCTTATCACGTTAAAACAATTTGATTTCTATTAATTCATCACAGTGAAAACCGATGAAGTGACTAATATCTGAAAAAAGTTGATATCATGGTGGTAGATTTGTCACTCAAACGGACGTTTTGAGTGAAGTTTCATTCTTTAGGTTTAGTGGTTAATTTCTGAAATTGTTATAGTCCTTCTGGACAATATCATCAATATAAATTCATGATAAAAGTGAACTACATGTATTCATCCACGTGTCACTGATCATGATCATGAGTGATTGTTGTCAGCTATTGTCCGGTCATTGTCAGTATTTTCATTTTTACTGTCTTATCTTGAAACTTGATTGCTTATTTATAATTGTCCATAGTTTGCTCAGCAGATCGAAAAATAATGTAAATTTCTTTGTTTACTGATTGATGACTGACCGGAATACCGAAACTTCTAAATATACTTAGTTTTTCTTTGTTATCTTCTGTTCAAGATTTCGATCTTTTTCAAGTCGAATGTAAGTCAACAATTGAAGAAGAAGTAATGGGTGACCACTGAATCCACCATAGTGTTTCTCAAAATTACGAGGAATTTGTTTTATAGTCGATTTTCGGCGTTTCTTCTTTTGCCATTTCTTCCTTTGGCGATGAAATTCTTTAGTCAAACGATTACTTTTTTTTCATTTCTTCCAACCGTAGATTTGCTGTAGAGTACCTTCAGTCATTTGAATAAAGTTTGTATGTAGTTGATTTTGTCAGTTCCTATGTGATCTGCGTCGTCTTCCACTACATTGGTGTTCCTAGTTTCTCTATGCTGAGTCTGGTGATGGTAAGATTCAAGAATGGCAGTCCTTACAACTGTTAATTTCAAGGCACTATAAACGTCACTGATCAAAGGAGATCGATTATACAGAGATATCTGTGTTAATAAGTTTAGCATACCGTAATTCTGAAATGTTGAGTAAAGTAATTTAAAAACCTGAGCAATTTTCGAAAATTATAGATTTTTAAAGGTAAAAAAAAATCAACATAATTACTCTGACAAGTCAAGCATTTAATTCACGTAGACATATGCATCCCTTTTAATAAAATCTTTACAGCAAACAGCAGGCACAGGTACAAACATAATGAATCACATGGTAAGCAATGTTGATCAGACTATCGTAAAAACTATATTCATGATTTTCCATCATTAAGAAAAAAAAATACTTCTTACCGTCAATCACAACTTAGAAAATACCAAATAAACAGATATTCTAATTGTTAATCAATATACTTAACCTAACGTCTACAACTATTTTTGGTAAAATACGTAATATGATTGTTTCTTTACCATAAAAATGTAGTAGCCACATGATATCAATGAAGTGAAACATTTCATGAGTCGAGCAATGATTTAAAAACAATGACTTAATTATTTTACCTCTATTTCATTGGTATTGAAAGTGCATTATTTAATGTTATTTTTCTTTATGTTTAAACACATGAATCTGTTTGATTGATATTATGATTGAAAGTAAAAAAAAATTTCTTTTTAATTTGTGTTTTGTCGTTTGACGCAAACGTTAGATGATAATTCTCATTTGTTAAAAGAATTAATACTACTTCAAAAAAAAACATAAGAGACTAGTGAAATATTTTTTTTTCATTCAAATTATGTTTTAGATATAAGTGAAATAATAATTATCGTAAATAAATTAGTATGCCAGTAATACAATGAAAGTCGACAAAAGCGGTCGCTTTTAATGTAATACTAGAGTACATGGAAAAAGCAACTTTTATGAATTAACTTCAACTTTTTATTATTTCTATTGTAGTTTAGTTATACAGTTACGAATGTCAATAAACCAACTTAAAGAGTAAAATGCTATCAATCGCTATGGTTTGAATACACGCTGTGTGTGCCTGAAAATAATTGATTGTGTTGTTTAATGCTTATTACACTAGTGAAAATCATATAGTTTTTTGTCTACAGGTGCTTACAAATTTATAAATTATTCGTTAGGTGATTTGAGTCATATTACGAATAAATAAGGTTACGGAAATTAAACTCTAATGTATGTTAGCTATTTGAGAATGTTCATCATATTACCTCAAATTAATTACAGGTGAATAGAGTGATAAGTTAATCATTGGTCAACAGGAAACACAACTCAAATCCTTAGGGAACTAAGACACTTAATGTTTTGAAAAAGTGGGACAGATTAAAGCTGAATAAATTAATTGTTCCTCTCGAAAATTTGACTTTAAGTCGAGCATGCAAATAAGAGTTTAGTTATTCAGTTTTGTTAGTTTTGTTGGAAGTTAAATATTCTTCATATTCAAGTTATAAAGTGATAGTGTTTATCTAGGGTAAGAATAAAAATTAAGTTTTCCAGAAAAGCTTGCTAAATGATATGTAACTCAATCTGATTTATTATATATATATACTGTTAATTATTCTCCCGGAAATTCAAAACAAGCAGCAAACATTTATCACGTTTTCGGGATGGCCATTGTGCAAATTTGAGTTACAACATAAACTGTTATTTGTAAATATGTTTAAATATGTTAGTTTCATGAAAACTAAGCAGTTATTCTTAAATATGTTTGTAAAATTTAAATAAGTTAACATCGTATCAAAAAAAATTTGTAACATTTAAAAACCATTGTTTATATTTGCAGATAAATGCTCGCTATGCTGAATTATGAAAGTTCTAACTACAACAGAGAGAATGATTTTCTTCAGTTATAAAATGGAGTAAGTAAGAAATTTTATTTTTAAAATTCGGTATTATTACTTCTTAAATGCTTCCAATTTGTTTGTATCGATCTGAGTTTTGCGGCACTTCGCAACAATGCAGTAAAAGAACATTAAAGATATTTAATAGTGAAGAGTTGAACTACTGATAGTAATGGTGACTGAAAACGATTATAGAAATCATAATCCAAAAGGTATGAACGGCATTGGAAATAGAAATAACTGAACTGATTCAATGCTATTTTTCAGAAAAAGATAAAAACGTGGCTACTTCTAAGCCGCCATAACCATTTTCTAACACTGTGAGGTGGAGCCTCATAGTGCTCTGTTGGATTATCTATTGAATGCTACTCTAAAAATAGCACTCTTCTTCACGCAGCTCGATACGGTATTCAGCAGTTTCATGGATTGATACCATTTTATGGCTTGGGCGACTTGTACAATTTTATGGATCTACTACAATCTTAAATAATCGCACTGAGTAAAATCATTCTTGCATTATTATCTTTGAAGTGTGATCTTAAGTTTTTCTACCCTTTTCAAATAACTGAATCTCGATTTTGTAATATTTATTGAATGTTTAGTTTGGAAAGTAGCACTATCTGTTAACATAGTATAATTGCAAAGAAATATTTAGAGGATAGAAAACCAATGTTTATGTATTACTTATGTAACTGAATTCACTTAAAATCGATAATTTCTGTAGTTTTCACATTAAATAAACAGACTAAAACTAAGAGGAATGTGAAACAAAAACTTAACACCCAAAATATTTTAGCACACAGGAATATCAGCTAAATTAAATTACTTGTATATCATGTGAATTAAAACAAGTTCTTTGTATACTATTTTTATGTACCCAATGTATAAATTTTCTAAATAAACTTCTGAAATACGTAAAAATGATTAATTCTACTTTTGGAAGACATGTAATTACGATTAGCACTTAACTAAACTAACTAAATATTTATTACCATAACAACACGAATAATCTTATGCTTTTTACTAAGAATGCGTAATTGTGTACTTTTCTTTTGCCTCATGATGTATTGAATTTTAGCAAAAATTTAGCGTTTACTTCTGTTATCCTACATTAAGTAATTTAAACCTAGACCAGGTTTTATAATTAGCCAATTAAGTGAGTGTTAGGATAAAACGGTAACAGAAAAAGTATTCTATTACTAAGTGTACGGGACTGAATGATAAGACCCAATGCAAATTAATTTTCTTTCTAAGCTCTTCGTTTTATTTCAAATATGTTTTAACATGTGACGACTTAATGAATGTGGTATTTATAATTAGGGTAGGATTTACTTCAGGTTTTATTTTAGCCGCTCAACTTTATTGTTTGGACAACTAAGTATTATAATTCAACTTCTATGGTAAACATCAATGCTGACAGGTATGTAAACACATCTAACCGATACCTTTTAAACAGTACAACATTCGAAAATCATAGTTACGGGATATTATGGAGGAGTGGTTTAAATATCGTATAAACATTTTCAGCGTGAAGTTATAGATGAAAGGGAGAATAACTCAGAAATGTCATCTAATTTTGCTAAACTATAGTAGTCTTTGTATTTTATGATAAACCAATTCCTAAATGAGACCTTGACTGTCCTCGTGCAGATAAAGCAAATTCAATAGAAAATTTCCAAAAATGAGAGATTTGCAGATCAGGTTGCTTTAACAAATTGGTCATAGGCCAAACCATACTGCCACACAAACACACACAAGGCTACATGGCTTTCACAAGATCGCGTTACGCAAACCTAATAGACCACATCTGCGTCAATAAAAGGTTCAAAAGGAACATGAAGGACGTGAGAACAAAGCCAGAAGATGACATAGCTTCAGATCATCACTTGGCTATGGTTAAGATGGGATCGACACTAAAGATGCACTGTACAACTGGTCATTCAGTATCACAATAGTTTATTATGGCCTTAGGTCAGGATACTGGAAAACTCAACGAATTCAACTTAGCTCTCAGCATTATGTTCCAGGCCTTTCACGATCTAATCAGTGGAAAAGAAGCTAGCATAGAGAATAACTGAGAATAGAATAAAAAACAATAATTTCATCATTTCAAGAGGTTTAGGGCCACAAGAAGCACTATCGCAAGGACTGAATCTCTGTTGAAATTCTGAATGTGGTGGTAGAAAATAAGAACAAGGAGACAGTAATCAACATCGGTGGAACGTGAGCAGAGAAAGTGAAGGCTAAGGCCGAATAGACAAAAGCGAACAACCGAGTGAAGTAAGGCATTAGAGCTAATAAACGGAAATATGTGGAAGACCTAGCAATGATAACAGAAAAATCTGCAAGAGAATGAAACATTGGACAGTTACATGATACAACAAATAAACTTGCTGGAAAATATCGAAAACCAGAACGATCAGTGAAAACCAAGGAAGACAATCACCGACATTTAAAAAGGCGAAACAGGTGTTTGGAGCATTTGGAAGAACCCTTGAATAGACCAGACCCACTGAACATACTCAGCATCTAAGCAGCAATCACACATTTTCCAGTTGATGTTAACCCACCAATGAGATTAGCATGGCCATCAGACAGAGAAAGAGCTAAAAATCAGCAAGACCAGACAACATTCCGGCTGAGGCTGCGAAAGCAGACGTAACAGCAACTGCAAAGTTACGCAACACTCTCTTCATCAAGATTTTGGACAAAGAACAAGTGTCAAAAGACTGAATAGAAGGTCCTCTCATGAAGATACCGAATAAAGGAGATATCAGCATCTGTGAGAAGTCGAGAGAAATCAATCAACTCCTAATGCCAGGAAATGTCTTCAACAGAGTGTTGTTGAACCGAATGTAAGATTCAGTAGACCCCCAAATTTGAAATAAGAAGACTGCATTCCGTAAGGATCGATCGTGTACCGACACGATTGTGGAACAATCAATTGAATGGAACTAATCACTCTACATCAGCTTCATTGATTACGAGGTAACATTTAGTAGTGTGGACAGTAAAACACTATGGAGACTTTCTCGACACTACAGAGTTCCTTAGAACATAGTTAACATCATACGGAATTCTTATGATGGATTTAAATTCAAAATCGTGCATGTGCGACAGCTCACAGACTCATTCGAGGTGAAGACCGGCGTCAGACAAGGTTGCTTAATCTCATCGCCCTTCTTCTTCTGGTGCTAGACTGGATTGTGTAGACTGTAACGTCTGGAGTGAATACACTAGGGAGCTCGGATGCAGCTGGACGATCTAAACTTCTCAGATGATCTAGCTCCTCTGTCACATACACAACAGAGAATACGAAAGAAGATGGCTAGCTTAGCGGCAGCCTTTGCAGCAGTAGATCTCAACATACATGAAAGAAAATGCAAGGACGTTTGATGCAAAAAAACATACACAAACCAAGTTAAACTTGATGAAGAAGCTTTGTAGGATGTAAAAACATTTACATATCTAGGCAGCACTATCGAAGTGCAAGATGGATCTAATGAGGATAGAATGACACAAAAGCAGTATTTTTACAGTTGAAGAACATCTCGTACTCAAAACAACTGTCAACTAACACTACAGTCACAATTTCCAATACAACTGTCAAGACAGTTCCACTGTATAGAACGAGAAGTTCGAGAACCTCGAAAGCCATCACCTCGAAATCACAGGTATCAATTAACAGTTGTCTACACAAGATGCTGAGGATCTGTTTTCCAGGCATCATCAGTAACAACCTGTTGTGGGAGAGAACAAACCAGAGTGCAGTTGAGGAAGAAATCAGGAAGAAGCACTGGGGCTGGATAGGACACAAACTGCAGGAAGTACCCAATGGGGTGACAAGATGAGCCGTCACTTGAAATTGTCAAGGTAAAAGGAGGTGAGTAAGACAGTAGAACACATTGAGCCTAGGTATTGGAGATAGACGTGAGAAGAATGAACATTAGTTGGATAGGACTGGAAAGGAGGAACCAGGACACAGCTGGAGAATGCTGGTCGTCTGCCTGTGCTCTACTGGGGGGAAAATTCGTAGGTAGGTAAGTTACTGATAAATCCATAATAATTAATCACTCATCCTAAACGTATTTTATCACTCGCAAACTGAGAAAGTAAAGAAAGCAAACTTAATGGATGATAGTGATAAACTAACAACACAGGATGCAATTGTCGTGTTGGATTACGTACCAGTTTTGCAATGCACATGATTTACGCTTCTTACAGTGAAGAATTAACTTTCGCTTTATTGTTTACATCATTTTCATAATGTATGAGATTATATGATAATGATGATACCAGATTTACGAAATATATTTTGAATAACTTCATGTATGTACTATTAATTTTCACTTGCGTGGCTGTCTTGGAAAGGACGTAAAAACAATGATTTATTTTAAATAATAAGTACTGAAAAGCCTTCTCAGGCATATAAATTTTTGCATGCATGCACACCAATATAAAAAGACTTACCCAACAAAAAAAATCCCGAAACATCCCACCCATGTTAGCAACCCTGGTTTGTAAACTGTACGAGTTGTAATTTCTTCACCGCAAAATGGACATCTAATCTTTGCTGGGTCTGGTCCGGGAATAAACGTTACATCGCTGACTTTTGGACAAGGCTGTTCTACAACTACCGGTTCTAAAACAGATTTAAACACTAGTCATTTGAATTACTGGGCGAGTAAAGTAAATAACTGATTGTTGTGTTAGTTATGCCTTAAAAATATAGATACAGTATATATATATATATATATATATATATATATATATATATATATATATATATCGTGCATAAAGAAGCGTTTGTGTGCTAATATTGATTAATTCCTTGTAAATTAGGAATAAATAATGGCTGCTTTGGTTCTCCGATAAAAAATGGAGTATGTATAGAGAAAAAACTATTGGTTAGAAACCATAATATGAATAGCCTGGTATCTTAATTTACAGCCAAAATATCTCCATGGTTGTCTTTTCTATCAGTTCACCAGTTGAAATGCGTGATATATTTTGATAACGTTTAATGATGGATACTTTACTGAAATGTGAGTCCAAATATTAAGTTTAAAATTATCATTATCAAGTCGGAAGTGATAACCACAGATATAGTGAAAAAGCATTTAAAGCTGGTATAAAGCCGTTCCAGTGGTAATATGGTTAAAATTTTAAACCGTTATCAGCTGGCATATCAAATCTTCATTTTAAAAGACAAAAATTGTCAATGAATGAAATGCCACTGTGTTTCAGTTTTTAAAGATAGACTAATTCAATAGTGGTTTTTTAAATTTGCAAAAAACACATGATGAATTTAAATACAACTTCTATGTTTCCACCCTATACTTTAAGAATTCAATGAAGTCCGTATAGAAATTTCACAGTTCGATTATTGTAAGCATAACATAAACCTTGTGGGATTGAACATGTATGAGCATAAGTTAAAGTTCCAAAAACCTATTTTGATAGCAAGGTTAAATTATTATGACGAATACCAGAGTAATAGAAGTGATAACAATACACTGGTAGTGTAAAATATAAGGTATAATAACTTGAAGCAAGAAGAGATAGTGAATTCAGTGAGTAAAAGTTATCAGGTAATTTCAGGATCTAATATCTAAAAGAAGATGGAAGATAAAAATTTCTATACTAAGGCAACTGATTCCGAGTTATACCACCCAGCGTTTGTAAACAGAGATCACGATTATCCCAAGAGATTTTACATGGTGGTCTCAATCTAGCAACAAGGCTTAGTTCGAGTAACTTAAATTCCAAAAATGATAACACATTTTGGTCTGTTAGCCATAAACAATATGCTAATCAGCTTTTAAAATAACAAATATTGAGCATTGGTGTGAACGGTGGATGGAGGTACGTAACAAATATTCCGATCAACTTGGTCAAAGGAGAGTCATTACTCGATCGATTGACTTGCCATTTTTGTCTGTTACTTTAATTATTATCTCACGTTTGCTTACCTGATGGTTTCAGCATACGTAAGCAATGCTTCAAATGTTATGAAATATTGGTAACATACAAATTTCCTTTACTCTGTTACTTTTGTACAGGCTAATCAGTTTATTCATCCTGTAACTAGCAGAAAAGCATCTTGTCCACTTCAAAAGTGAAGCAAGTTTGTAGAAACGATGTTCTCTCAACAACTTTTGAGACTTAATCCGGCCCCAACCCACAAAGGTTATCGAGACTTCTTAGACAAGTTGGGTTGGCGAAGCATCAATCCCATTATTCCCTACTATTTGTCATTACATATTTAAGAAAACCGAATCTTACTGTTTTATAAGGTCAGAAAAAATAAAAAGAATGACAAATATTGCACCATAAAAAACAGTATGGTTTATGTAAATTTCAAAAATACTGTACGAATTTACATCATATGTTCAAGTTCGTCACTTTAGTATGTACAGTCTGTTAATTTCATTAAAAGAGTCGGCAGTCTTTAGTAGACCAAATCTGCTCGAAGTTCAAAGTAAGGCAAATGTCTAACTGAATAACATCCGAGGAACGATCATCAGTGGTTTTGCGAATTTTTTAAATTAGACACTCAAACCGGATTAAATGCTTATTATAGCATCGAACTTCCAACAACTTACTCATGAGATCTTCTATGGTCTTTTATATGCACGAGTTACAAAGTTTTGGTACTATAGTTGATAGTTTCATTGATGAAGTTCAAACGTACGTTCATCAAACAACTTGAGAGATGAGCTTAAATGAATTAAGTATAATCTCATGCAACTTGAAACTAGTTATCAGTTGCGACATCAAAAATTTATAAATGAACAAAATTAGAAGGTTGATAGCAGTATTTCAACACTAAGTTGGACGGTATTATGATGTAGTCGGTTCCTCCTAAAGTGTTTTAATGCTTCAGCAAGTAATAAAAACTGAAATGATTATTGATTTATTGATGATGAGTGAAATCTACGAGAAACTAAAATTTGATCCCGGTAAAAATCTGTCCGTTTTACAAGGAAGCCGTTTGTCTATTCATAAACTCCAAAACTAAGTATACAGTTTGTGATCTACACTTTAAAAAGAAATGTATCATCACCCATCGAAATCACAAAATCATTGAAAACTCATGAGTATTCTTAAATCAGATTCAATACGCGCTAATTATGTTACTACGAGTTTTGCCGAGCGATAGATTGTTTTTGTGCTTAAAAATGAAAGTATAACTTCAAAGTTCTATCAACCAACGATAATTGCAGATACTATACACAGAGTACAAAAATGCAAGAGGTTCATACGAATTTCGAAGCTAAATGGCATTCACCAACAAAATCAAATCAAATCATCAACGAATCCAAAATAAATCTGTGAAAAAATTTATTAACTTACATATTTGGTTTGATAGAAATAGTAAAAGATAATTTTAACAAAAAGTATTGTTCTTACCCGGAGTATGAGTTAGTGACGGTTTCGGAAAACCTTCATTCTCTGGAGACTTTGGATATGGTGGATCACCCTGTTCTAAATACAGTTATATTTAAAATACAACAAAATCTTACCGGTATTCATATTAAAAACAGCTAATATAAAACGTCAGAAGATTTGAGAGTCACGATAACTAATACATGTTTTGAATGTTCATATCGACGTTGTCCAATATATCCAATATCCAATATCTTTTTCTTGAGCTAGTATAAACCAATTGGTTTCTTTGCGCTTGATTCTTGTTCTTTCGGTACGGTTCCATGTGTCCAGTTGTGTCCAATGAATGCGGTCTAGCCACTGGACTGCATTTATTCTAATCATTTAGCAGTTGTTTTTGGAATTTGTATGTTCCTTGATTTGAATGGGTGCATTAGTTTCAAGGCAGTAGGGTTTCTGGATATTAGTGGCTATAACTTTCCTTAACCGTGAATCCTTAATTGCAATATGGACAACAACAGGGAGAAAATTATAATAATGAAGATTTCAGAACTAAGTAGACAAATAGATATATAAGTTGATTAAGTGTTAGTGTCCGAGAGGACAAGGGAGTGGAAACATAGATAATAAGCGGGGTGGAATAAGTTTGTGATCTGTGGTAATGAGAATGATAACAACAGGAAGTTTCGAGACATGCATAGGCACAGAAGGTGCAAGCGGGAAATAATAATCAGTTTGTGAGTACGCGTTTATCTAGTCCCTACTTAAGCTGTCCACTGCAAGGATAATTGTCAACTCGTCTGAGAGAGCATTTCAACTATTAACAATAAAACTTTTGCAAGTAAGTGAACGTTCTGTCTCTGCTCTTCAAATTTTCAGGGGTTGCCTCATGTGATGTGGTAGTGATCACTTTGAAAAATGATCATGTTCTTATGACTCAGTGTGCTCAGTATGTTATACGCCATTATCAGGTCACCACTTATTATCTTACAGCCCCGAGAGAATAATCCAAAGTGCCGCAGTCTATCATCCTAACTTTTTTTCTTTAAACTTAACACCCATTTAGTTGCTCGTCTCTGCACTTTGTCCAAGAGATTCATGTCTCTTTTAAGGAGAGAAAGTAAGAGGATTCTGTGAACTTCACGATGTGGGCGTGTGTTAATCTAAAACGATGGTAAGAATAATTCTGGGGTTATCACACCAAGATACCTTTGCATAAGGGGAACAGTTTCGCTAGCCTCTGCTGCATCCCCTATGTAGTTCGGACAGGTCTCCAGGCTTTCTATGGTTTATAAACGGACATTGCGCTCTGAGGAGATATTGAGGAGTGGAGTTCCATTTAAGTGAGAATGTCGATAATTGGTCTTCAGTAATAAGGATCAGAGGTCATTGAACATTACGTATTCTTTACAACTTGTCGTACTGTAAAGGTCCAATCTCGCTTTGAACTTATCAACAGTAAATGCTGATATTACATATTCTGTCAGGGAATTCTCGCTCTATGTGAGAAACAGAAATCGCGATTTTTCAAATTTCGTAAGAAAACTTGCTGTATTATCAGTCCTCAATCGAAGCAGAGGATAAGATATTACTACTCAGATTATCGTTCAGCAGCCAGTATAAAATCGGTCAGATAACGAGACTAGGTTAGGTGTATCAGTTTGTATTCATAGCACAGATCAGTAAGGCCTTTACTACCTCATTCTTCAAACACGGACTCTCTCTGCTTAAATATCCCTTCTTAAACGTAGCTTCACGAACTTCAGTTACGGTGCGGTAAACACTTCCTCATAGAAGTATTGAGATGATTATGAAAAGCTCTGAATACTGTGAAGCTTTTGTCAGTGTGTTACTAAAGATTTTAAGACAGCTATTTATAATGACTCTTTGAATTCTACAATCCTTCACTTCAGTTAGCACCAGTACATTTGATGCATGAGTACATACATTGTCGAGGTTATTTATCTGCATCACTGCCTTTTGCTGGGGGTAACATTAAATTACCACCCATATACCCATTCAGTCAGTGGATATGTACAGTCCGCTGGTATTATCCTGTATGACAGTCAATGTACTGGTCTTCGAATTTTGTTGTCTTCAGAAAAGAGTAGAACATATGAATTTGCTGTACTTGGTGAACCATCTGCATGAAGTAAAACAGGAAGAGGTTCACTCTTAATTTCACTGTTAACCAGGTCGATAAGGCCTTATGTACTTATAACCAATGTCTCTTACTACGGAGAAACATGTCCATATCCTTTTACTGGTGATCAAGTCGAGATTGACTATGATCACCAATAAGTTTTCATTATATACAGAAATAAATCCATGGTCGAACGGTTATTTGAAGGAGAAAGTAGGTGTTACAGTGAGCAGCAAATTATGAAAAAATGACAGCAACGCCTAAAAGAACGTTGCGCGCAAGTAAGTGTTTTTGGCACAGCTAAACAAAAGGAGTATATGTTTATTTTTCAATAATTGGCTTTTCTTCGTAGAAGTGTTCAACTACATTCTTATCATGTCACGGATTCTAAGACTTCCCAGTTTTAAATCATATCCTAAGTGAGAAATCTCGTAGAAGTATTAACTTGAATGCATGACAGCAACATCGACAAAAATAGTAATAACCCTCAATGAAGTCTAATTTTCTATTCATATAAAGGAATTTGTCAAGTACGATTATCAAGCTCTTCGGCAAGAGGATAATTTCCTTTAACATAGCTTATATTTTGTAATTGGATTTTCTACCGTGGCAGTTCAAATGGTTTCCAGTAAGTGCAATTTGTACGCGTATCTCCCAGTCCAAGGTCCAAACAACGCAACAATTCTAGGAGAAAACGGTCTATATTAATTAAAAGATGGAAATACAAAGCAGTACCTGGAATTGATGCACTTTCCAGGTCGCAATTACTCCGAAGAGTATCCAAGACAAAGTAATAAGTCCAACCGCCAACGTATCAATCCAAATATGGTTGTGGCCATATTAAAGATCAAATTTAAACAACATATACAGTTCAGAGGCAAACATAAAAACTTCAATATATGTACAAAATATAGAAATAATAACAATATACAATGATAAAATCTCAAATTGGAATCAAATAAAATGCCAAAAATGTCAACATAAAAAGTCCGTCATGTCATAACAAAAATATGTAAACATGGAGGGATTTTCCAAAAAACAAAACATTCAAAAAGGATTCTACACCGGCCCGCAAAATCCCTCCATGCAAAAAGAGCAAGCGTTAATGACACTTTAATTTAGGGTTCCCACTCATCCCCTAATCCACACCGGAAGAACGTGTAGGACTTACAGCAGTACGCCTACCCGCCATCTAACATGGATATGACCTATCAAGCTAACTAGGTACCTATACCTTCCCATCAGGCCCTTGATTCCCCTATCTATCGTAGCATGACCTAACGGTAGTATAAACCTTACCCAATTAACCCACACGAACATGTACAACACGTTGTAAAGCTGGTCATATCCTATCCGGGAACTACATTCCATATCATGGGGATGAGTCGTCAATCCACCACCACTTGCTCCGATCAGCAGATACAATGAAGTCCGTGATGCTGACTTATCAACAGAAGTTCTTGACCCATAGATAATATGCAAGGGTGGGATCTCCAATTTTGACATTTCTTTGTCTCCAGAAGACTTTAAGTAGCATAACATGGGATCAATATTTATCTCTCCATCTCCTGATACAGAGGAGGTTTGATCAGCATTCGTCATCGTCGGTAACTTATTTGTCACATCAGTGACATCCAGATTATTATCAACGTCATCATGATTACATTGTGTCAGACAAGTTGCGTCGTTTCGGTCTGCACTAGCATCCGTAGAGTGAAACTCTTCCATTGTTGTATAACTCATCTCGCTACATGAAAGAACAGCATTAGTGTCACAATCCAAAGCCGATAAACTCACTTGTTGTTCTTCATGTTCCGTTTCAGAGACACAAGACGTATGCACATCAATAGCATCGTTATCATGCAACACTGTAAACTGACTGTTACCATCAGACGCTTCCTTCTCATCATCACTTGACTGACAGTCAACCGAAGTAGGAACACTTACAGTTACACAACCTTGTGTATCCTCAATCAACTTAACATTCGCGACAAGGTCCGATGACGTCGAAACACTAGAAGGCTCGTTCGATGAAGTTGATCGACTAGTCACTATAAGTGGACTGCTCACGCTTTCTGTCTCCTTATTATCGCTGTCACTACTAAGATTCTGATGACTACTATTTCCATTGCTAGTCATAGCATCCGAAAGAGAATGATGTTTAGGCTTCTTAATAATAGTAGCATCATGTTGTTTCCTAGGCTTCTTAGCCTTTACAGTACCGCCATCACTTATCCTAGAATCTACTCTAGGTCCCGTTATATAATTTACCCTAAGTGAAGGGTTCCGAACATAGGCTTTATTCCGTCCAGACAATCCTGCCTGGGCCTTATTCATATTTACTGAACTCATTAACCTCTGTTTACTCGAATCCAAATAACCGTTCCAGGCTTTTCGAGCAGTTAAGAGGCTTTTATCATCACACACTTCGGATCCATCTTGATGCCTACACTTTTCACCTTTTTCTTTCCTTTCCATACTTAAAAAAGCCATCTTATCTGTTACACAAACCGGCTTCTTACTGGGATACGCATCAAGAGGTTTTACATCATCACGGTCACATACTCGGCCTTCAACAGCCTTCAACCCGATATAATTGACAACTCTCTTATATTCCGGGCGTGCGTTAGGTAGAAACGAAGAATCCTCATGTCTCGCACGCAGACCACTAGTAGCTTCCGTATTATGTCCTGTTTTAGCCCGATAAGCTAATCTTCCGAACCTACTACTAGCTATCTTAGCACGAGACATAATAAATTCCGTCAACTCATTGAAATTAGGCTCTCTCTCCTCTTCGTCCCACTTGATTCCCAGCTCTGCCCACTGGGCTTGCATTCGACGAGGTAAGAGCCTGACTATTCGTTCTAAAGTAACCAGGGAATGAAGTTCCGTTGTACAATTTAGCTGTTCTAAGGTTAAAGCAGCATTCTGCATTTTAATAGCCAAATTCGTCAATTCTTCAGGATCATTAAAATCTGCATTCCCGGTTCTAAATAAGTCCTCTAAGGTTTCCCGGGCTATTACATGCGACTGTCCAAAGAGCTGTTTTAAGATGGCCTTAGCTCTCTTATATCCCGCTTGTGGATCCATTATAATACAACCTTCAATCGCATTT